GGTTAGAGGTTTTAATGACTTGGAAAGGCAGTAAATAAATAAAATTGTCTCCCTCAAAAATCTGATTGATGTCCCTTTGGGGATGCCCCATATGAAAGAGCTACTCAGCCTGTGGCTTTCATCTGTGACCAGAGAAATCGATGCCAAGGATGTATGAGCAGCTACCTGTCTCTATCCAACAATCTCCTAGAGTACCCTTGGCATTCAAACAGAAGATTTTTAGTGCAGAGTGGCACAGGCTTCATTACAAAATGATGCTACCTCTGAGATCAGTGCAGAGCTTTAACACAAGCAAAAATACTAATATAAAAATCCAGCATCAAAAATTTCTAAATATATCAGCGACTAGGAAAATCAGACAAAAATATTTGCCATCTTAATACAAAGAATTGCATCAAAAGTGTTTCTCGGAACAAACCAAGAAGATAAACCGGCCTAGAGTTTCCAACAAGAAAACATGCACTCGAAGACATCAATCAAAGCACATCCACATCAAAGCAACAACTGAAGACCATTAAACTGCAGAAAAGTCACCGAAACACAGTGTGGTATAAGTCAATTCATGCTACTGTGTAAGCACCGCATCTTTGTTATACTATTGGTGAGCAGAGCTAAGCATACTGACAGTATTTACAAAACTCAACAGCAAAATATAGGTCAGGGGCCTCATTTATAAAACTGTGCGTAGGATCCTAAAGTGTACGTGCGCCCGAAAGCCAAAAATGGCGTACGCAAAAAAATATTCAGATTTATAAAACCGTGCATACGCCAGAACCTGCGCAGAATTCACTTTATAAATCCCGATAAATCTCATTCAGCGGAAGATTGTGCACACACGCGTCTCCTCCCCGAAATAACCATATATGGAGCTTACAACGCCTAGTTTTACTATGCATATCCTCATCAGCATATCATTTGCATATGATTATTCATCCACGTGATAACATGTTTAACGGTATAGACATTAGGAAAATATGAAATAGCCTAATACGGATGTGCCGTCACATTATAGCCTACATTAATAAAAATAATTTAGTAGCCTATCCTTGCCTTGTTTTTGAATAAATAAATCAAATAGTGTAAAATACATTTCAGAGAAAGTTTTCACAATCTTTTCCACTGACCAAATAGTATTTTTTTTTTATTTATATTTTTAATGGAAACAGATAGACTGTTGTGCATTATTTGCACGAAACTATTTTCTCAGACAATCTGCTATAAGCAATTATCTCTTTAGTTAAAATATTAAAACACAGCATGCCAGAGGAAAAGTGTTCAAAAGCATTGCATCCACAAGAAATATTTATATTTATTGAATATAAAAAATGTTGTAACTTCTCAGTAATGATTTCATGTTTAAGTGTTTAACTCCATCAATGACAATGGCATATTTAATCAAAATGTTTATATCAGAAGTAAAACAGTTTAAATCATTCTTTTATTTATTTAAACTGTTATTGTGAACATGCACTGTTTTTATGATTAGGACTCTGTCGTTAGATAGGCGTTAGTTTCACTAAACGGCACAACGCGCTCGCTGGCGCGGACATTCAAGAAGGGATGAATATTTGCCTCAAGTGATATGCTTGGTGAGTGAAATTATATTTGTATTATCTTTCTGTATAGCCTATGTATAATTTTCTTTAGATTTTCTGTCTAAAAGTGACCAAAAAGACATTTAACTCCAGCTCACCATCGGTGTCGCCAAACTGCTCCGTCTCCAAAACGTTCGTACGCATGGGTCAGAGTTTGCGTGCAGGTGCGCACATTTTTCCGTCAAGTTTGTTTTTATAAATCACAACTTATGCGTCGGAAGTGGCGTACGCCTCTTTCAGGGCCTGTTTTGTGTGTACGCAACGGTTATAAATGAGGCCCCAGATCTGACCAAATATCCTGCATTAAATCGAGTTTTGAATTCACAATACTATTTAAAATGAATTACCCATTTACCATATCTGTACTGACACAGTGCTTGCCTTGGGTCTAAGATTGAACTGAAATGGCTGCATGCTCAGGATTGTTACTGTTACCTAAGTAAAAAGGCAGTCTGCTGCCCCAAGGCTGTAGCACACTGACCTACATCAATGCACCAGTGCTTTAGAGTCTAATTAGTAGAACTTGTATGCCTAGCGTTTGTCATGTTTGGCTGGTTTCTTTATTGTTACATGCATGATTAATGCAACTATACTTTAAATGCTAAATTACTAAACCATTTGACTGGAGATGATGAACATCCTATTGCGTTTAAGGATTTTGCTTATCTAAAGCAGGATTTTAAAGTAAAATTCTGTCATCATTTACTCACACTCATGTTGTGTCAAACCTGTATTTTCTTCTATGGAAACAACATTGTACCCCCTTAACTGTTATTGTATGGGCAAAAAAACATTGAGACATTTCTCTGAATATCTTCAATGTTCCACAGAAGAAAGTCATACAAGTCTTGGACGGCATGAGGGTGATTAAGTAATTAGAAAGTTTTCACTTTTGGGTGAAATATTCATTTAACTTCAAATCATGAGTAGCTTCTAAATTGGTAAGCTACAGTTTCAAAGTAGCTTCAACACAGCTTTTCACCGAGTGTTAAAGGAGATAACTGTCCTCAAACAGAGCCTTTTTCAGACAGGCACATCCAAAAATGTCCTAAAGTAAAGGTGTCTTAGATCATTAACCCCCGGTTTCACAGACAAGGATTAAACCTGGTCACAGACTAAAGTGTTTGAGCATGTTTGAGCTGTCTTAACTGAAAGCAACTTGCACTGACATATCTTAAATATCTGTCAGTGACAATTGTCTCAAGATTCACACCAAAAATGTTTGTTTTTTCCTAAGGAACATTTATAAAATCTACTTAAATGCCCTGATTGAACTAAGGCCTAATTCCTGGCTTAATCTGAGCCCTGTCTGTGAAACTGGGCTTAAATATACTTTTGCAAAAACACTTCAATTGTTACATTCATAATTTCAATGTCACATTGCCTAAAGGTTCAACCCTGTACACTGTAAATCACTCACATAGCAGAAAGCAGAAGCCACTGCCAGATGGTTCCTTTAATAGTGAGAGTGAAACAAATGCACAAGCGGTAATTAAATTCGTTAGCGTTTACCCATCACCATCCAGCGTGAATAGCTTGATTGACTAATGTTTCTTAAAAGATTGGATGTTAAGCTTTTAAATGACAAATGAACGTATAAAGCGAACGTATAAAGAACGTAAAATGAATGTATCTTCGTAAAAATTTTAGAAGATTATGTATGTGTATGTGTGTCAGAAGTCTGGCGAGTAAACAAAAAAAAAAGTACAAGCCAAAGTCTATTGCCAATGTGTGTGTATGAGGGTTGAGGTTAGGCCTCTTAAAAGCTTAGACAAATGTTGATTCTTACAAAAGGCCTTCAAGCTCCGCTCAGGATCAGGTCACTGAATCTGGAGCCCAAAGGCATAAAAACATGTATGAACCCTGCTGATCCAGACATTGACTTCATACTGATATATTCTAAATGGTTCATGCAGCATATCAGTAATACAGCAGAAAGCTACAAGATAAAACATATTCACTGACATCATAAATAATGTACATATTCACCAATGGGTTCAGTGTGGTACTGTTTTTCACAGGCATATCTGTAGCGGTGCCATTCACAGGCGTGCAAAGCATAAAAGTGAGGGGATTCTGTGTCGTGCACACATTAACAAATCATTGCAGGCATATAGAATCACACACACTATTGCATGAGACTGTGTGCAATAAAACTCTGTCATAGCGGTTCTAAAGTAGGCCAAGGCAGAAAAAGACTAGAATCTATTAAGAAGTGAGCATTTTTGGTGCTCTGTGCATGGGGTGGCACTCAAAAAGAATGGCAAGCTTTACAGGAAAAAAACCCATCAATGGGAATTAAGGAAAGCAATGACCCTTCAGACAGATCATTTCTATTCGCCTTCCACAGGCGTGGACGTGCTGCCATGCTTCATCACTGTAAGGGTGCACTAGTTAGGTAATCTACTGTAGGATGGCTAGAAAGAGGAACAAACTAGCCTGAGCTCCAACTACTGGAGAGGATACAAAGCAGCCAGCACTCCTAGATCAGAAGATTATTTACACTAAATGAATCTTACCTGATAAATATGAATCGATCACAATCTCTTAGATAATATTCAGTCAATGAACTGATGAAATTGTGTTGAGTCAAATATTTCAAGGGCTTTGTTCACACTACACTCAAATATACACAAAAAAACGTATCCTTCATCTTTATCCATTAAATCACAAACAACTGGAAAAGTCATGGGGCCTTTGAATATTGTTGAGGGAAATGGGGGGGGGGGGGGCTTGGAGTCAAAAAGGTTGAGAACCACTAATCTATACACTATTATGTAATTATTTGTACTGTGATAATTACAGTACATGCTTTTTACCTGTTTTACTGTACACCACACCTTCTCTATTTATATTACTTGTCATTCACATTGAGTGGTCCATCTGCACCACTTAAAACTCGCACTGTCACCATCACTTTTTGAAATATTATTATATTACTTTTTACAAATTTGGTTATATGATAACTGTGTTTCATTGGCACTGTGGTGCGAGTCACTGACTAAAATTAATTTAAACCAATTCACTACAATGCATTTTACATGAAAAAAAAAACTTGACATCTATGTCTGACTTAGTTCCTCTGTCTGAATCATTTTCAGATTTTTCATATTAATATGTTTTGGATCGAGTTTGTAAAAATCTGATTTTGATATTCAGTTACAAGCAATTAATTATATTTGAGCTGAACATGCCACACACAAAAAAAAAAAGATTTCTGGCAGCCTGTCTGAACAAAGCCCAAGAGAGAAGCTATTTTCTACCCTATCCAGTTTTAGAGCTCAGTATAGATTGTTTAGAGTTCAACCCAAATGTTTTTTTTTTTTTTTTTTTTTTCTGGGCAATAAGCAAGTGTTATTGGGAGAAGAGCAGGGCAAGGGGGTAAACATAGGTTCATTTTGTTACCATGGTTAGCACCCGGCCACCGAGGTGCAGAACAGGAAGGGCTTTGATCACCTGCAACAATGACGAAGTAGAAATTGACAGACAGAAAAGAAAGAGAGAGAGAGAGAGAGAGAGAGAGAGAGAGAGAGAGAGAGAGAGAGAGAGAGAGAGAGAGAGAGAGAGAGAGAGAGAGAGAGAGAGAGAGAGAGAGAGAGAGAGAAAGAGGGAGACACGTCAAACAAGAGGTATTTCAGGAGTTCGTAACCAATTATACACTCTGAAACTCTCAGTGTTGTCAAACCTCAGCCCACACACTCATCAGAAAAAGAAAGAGAAAGAGAGAGAGGACGAGCGACACCGAGCACAAGAAAGCAAGCGACGAGAAAGAAACGGAGTATGAGACCGAAGAGAGAGAAAGAGCACTGGTGAGGTTTAATCTACACACTCTCTTCTCTCCTAAATGTCAGTCTTATTCAAACAGATGTCAGGGAGACGGGGCCACAGCGCTGGATGGAGTAGGTGAGCTCTGAGCATGGACGGCTGGCAGGCTCTGTCAGGGGGCAGCGCTTGGGGGCTGAGTGGGAGACAGGTTTGATACAGCATGACACCTTACTTATTCATGCCCTCTTATTAGACCTCAGCACTGACACAAGGGATCATGGGAAGAACTTTTTTTGTGAGACAAGATAAAGTAAAGCCAGAAAAATAGTGCAGGGACAAATCAGTGCTGCTGAGCATGCTGATATACTGTATGGAGATTAGGTACATTTGATATGGCCATCTAAAGTCCCCCCTCATGCATTTCCTCCTCAGAGTAGTGATGTCTTTTGGCATGTTTTTCTTATCTGGCTTTTCTAATGATGCTGAGTTTTTTTGTTGTTGTTGTTGTCAGTCTGTACACAACATATATCTCACTACATCCCAGGAGAATTTCTAATGACACAAGGGGGTTTATGCACCATAAGCATGCATGGACAAGGACTTTGGGAAAAGAGTGACTGATTGGGGTCATCGTACGAGGCTGTTCTGGAAAGCTACAGCAGTTATAGACACTTGTCTGCCCGTCCTTGGCATTTCAATTCAATGTAGCACCTACAGCAGGTGGTCCGCTTCTCCTCCCCTGGGTCAGTGCGATTCATCATGGCAGGATGGAATATGTTAACATTAAGATTATGTTAAACTATCCTCTAAGGACTCAGAGTCTACAATCAATTTCAGTAATCAGTGACTTATAAATGGTAATGTGGCAATGAATCCATTATAAAAACAGTTTCGGAGTGGGGACCTACAATTGTACATTGTTAAAAGGATATACAGTATAGTTCACCCAAAAACTGAACATTTTCTCTTCCTCACTCTGAAGAATGCACACGGTTGTTCGAAAGTAGTTTTGTTTTTTTTATTGATACTTTTATTCAGCAAGGATGCATTCAATTAATCAAAAAATGGCAGTAAAAACATTTATAATGTTACAAAAGATTTAAATTTCTTTAAAAAAAAAACTAAAAAAAAAACTTAAGCTTTCCTTTCATCAAAGAATCTTGAAAAATGTATAATGAATTACTTTAACTTTTAAACAAATGAATTAATTAAAGCAGCACAACCTTTAAAATGACTTTTATGTTGTTGTGCCCTTTTTAACGCAAAGCAGCTCAAATGCACATTCAAAATGTCTCCTTTTGCATTCCATGCCAGAAAGGTCATACAGGTTTGTAACAATATGAGGGTGAGTAAATGACAGAAATTTCATTTGTGGGTGAACTTTACATTTAAAGGCATCTGGAAATGTAAGGCATGAGAAGGTGGAGCAGTCTTACCATTGCGTGGGGTTCGTTTCCTGCGGTCACGGAAGGCTGCTCCAGACTGCAAGGCCTCCATCAGGCTGTCCATCACACCCGTCTCGTCACCTTCTGTAGAGAGGACAGAGTTGCCTGTCAGAGCTCAATTTCATGTAGAACACATTCACATATACTCCAACTCACACATACCACGCAGTGTTGTCAGGCTACAATAAACCGAGTATGGGAGTAAAAGGAAAAGCAAAAACAGAACAGCAAAAAAGAAAGGCAAATGGGGTACAGGGCAAAGAGAACCAAAGAGAACAACGTGTCTCCCTAAATGCACAGACGCTGTGAGGCTGTGGCTAACGTATGGAGAGGAGCCAGAGGATGGAAGTGTTCACTGATGGCCATTGACAGGTATTAGCTCTGCGGCTTGCACAGGGGAGCTAAGTGCTCTTTACTAAGATTTAGTGTGGAGCCGGTCAATACTGGGGCTTTTTATCATTGTTCGATGACAGTGGGATGTGCCTCGAAAACGGTCATGCCACCGAAGTGCAACGCATCTTCCGTCAAATGGGCCTTGACTTCTAAAAGACAATGAGATGAGTGGCTCACTATGTGAAAGGACAAATCCCACAATCAAATTTTGGATTTTTTTTTTTTTTGAAGAAGAATATGGAGACATAAGAGACCCCTTAACATTTTAAATGACAACATCCCTGGAATAAGATGATCCTCATTGCAGACCTTTCTTAAAATATAAAGGCTGATTTATACAGTTTGAGAACAATAGCAAGTGTGATATTATAAAGACAAAATATAATTAGGATACTATATCAATTAACATTGTTTTTGTAACAATTTTACAAAAGTAAAAAAAAATATTAAGATATTATCTAAAATATTTAACATATTATCAAATAATTAATACTACATTAAAAAATATTTTCAATGAAATGAATCATGGATGACAATTTAATACATACACTTTCAGAAAATAAGGTACAAACACTATCACTGGGGCAGTATCCTTTCAAAAGGTACTAATATGCACCCTTGGGGTACTGGTACTGCCCCACTGACAGCTTTGGTACCTTCTGATAGTGTACTGTATTTCCTTTACTTCCACTTGCACGGGCATATGGCACAGAACATCCAAAGCATCGGTCAACGGTGGGGTTCAGAAATAATCTTTTGGTCTTTTATCTGGGTCATCTATCTTTACCCAGCATTAATGAGACCGAGGGTCCCCACTATATCATAGTGGTCCAGCAGAGGCATTATTTTAAACTAGAATCATTACTGTGACTTATTGTTGCGTGTGGGATCGTTTCATCAATTCTTTTGTGTACATGATCGAGTCGTTCTCTGGAAATATTTAGTGAATGGGTTGGGATTTCGACGTCTGCCTTGGCAGAGAGAAAACGTCTGTGGCAGAGATGCCGGTAGCTTTAGGCAGCAGTTTCAGGCGTGTTAATCAATCTTTTGTTTCCTCGCACAGTCAAAGTAGATGACAGTCAGCAAATTGAATTTATAAAGAGGAAGAAAGTTGACACGCTACATAATTAATTTCAGAAAATGCCACACACTCGCTACACTGAGGCAGAACTGCACGAGTGCATTTTCCATATGGAAGCAGCAGTAGCACAAGCGCTTATACATGATACAACTGTACACATTAAACAAAGCCAAAATATGATGAAAATGAAGAAACAATCAGCAGCAGTGGGATTAAATACAATAAATAATACTGGAAAATCAAAGAAGAGGTTCGCTGTGTTTAAGAGCCACCCAGATTAAATCAAGCTAATTAAACTAGCTGTTCTAGAACAAACCAGAGCAGAACAAGCATGGCTTATCTCTAATTGCTCTTCAACACCTTGGCTGATAGCTTTGCTCATTGGTTTAAACCAGGACATGCATCTCGCTGGCTCTTTCCACCGAGCGTGCCATCGTTCTCTGGAAGCAATGATAGTTCCTAAAGTAGCTGTATCCCAAAGTTTGCGTCCCCAAAACACGTCTGCATCCATCTGATGTCCAATCTGGGTGTCAGGAGGAGGCAGGTAAACATTTATTAGAGGCACCATGATTCCGGAAACTTCTCGACAGCTCCCTCATTTCCTTCGTTTTGGAGACCTAGACATCACAAGGGGCACCTGACACTTTGATCAATTCGTCCTACTTCTTGCTTGCTTAACTGTAACACAATTCATCATCTGCAATGGCCAGGACAGGAGAGCTGGGAAGGCTGGGTTCAGAGGATCTCAGACACAAGAAAGCAAAATTACTAAAACGGGAAACACACTCCCAAGCGACCCATGACTGCTCCATTAACAATGTCCTTTTGGGCCATGCTTCTACGAGAACCAGCTGGGCTCATGATCTCTCCACATGGATCTGAGAGGAATTGCCAGAGCATGTGGTCTACATTATTTTTCTGTCTCATCAGTACGGGATGTTTTAAAGTAGGCATGAAACGGAAGTTTTTCTTCCCTATAGTGTTGTTTTTCCGAGTGAAACGACTTCTCAAACAAGAAAAAAAATATGGCTGGACTTGATTTTGTCCATCGGGAATTGACTGGATGGTTGTTGTTCGCTATTGCTGTGATCTCATGTGAGTGACAGGTTGTCTCGCCCTCGCGCTACTAAACACCTCATCAGAGAAGAGAAGAGAAGTTGTTGCAAGAGGGAGGGGAAGTTATTTTGATTAAAGACTGAGGGCACATAAAAAAAAAAAAAAAAAAAAAAAAGATAAATTAAAAATGATGTGCACAGAAAAATCATTTACAAAAAAACACACAGAATATTTCATAAAAAAAAATAGTCAATTTTGATTTCATAGTAATTTTAAAAGCAGAGAATCTATTAAAAGATCCAAAGCACTGGAAAAGCGAAGATGTCTAATGCAATATTTTCAAGGAACGCATATTTCAAGAAAACTCTAAGATAATCCAACATCATTGTGCCCAATTTTGTTTTGTGTCATTTTCAGGGCAAACAGTCTTGAAGTAAAAAAATAAATACACACCCTTTATATACAGACGATACATCATGACTGAAAAAGTGATATTGCTTTCTAAACAACTGTTCAATAAACAGGAAGTTAATAATGAGACAATATTTTTTTACAATATTTCCAGTTATTTTGTGTATTTTACCACAACGGAAACTTCTGTTGTGCATCTCTGAGCAACACAGTGTTGTATGGTTCCTAAATGAATCTGTGTTTATTAACAAATTGAAAGAGAATGATTCAACAATTATTCATAAAAAAACAGTTAATTTTGAATGAATCAGTGTTAGAACGTAAATAAGGTAAATATTGCTGCTTATTGTCTAGAGAAGTTTACGGGAAAGTTATGAAATTTGGCACACAGATAAGAGGACAAACACTCTAGCGCCACCAACTGTCCAAATTTGCACTCACATTTCTGTTAATAACTTTTGAACTGTAAGGGCTAGAAACAAAAATTCTATTTTCCTCTGATTCAGTGGCTCGTGAAAACTTTCAGAAAAACATACTTTTTCGAACTCCTCCTACTCCATTACTCACATTTTCACGAAAATTGAACCAGATACTCTTCAGATCACGGCGATAAAAATATAAGGAATTCAAGTCGATTCCTCAATCCGTTCTCGAATAACGTGCAAACAAATTTGACAAAGAGCACGTCAAAGTGGAAGTGAGGCTATATCTTAGCAACGCTTTAGCGTATTCAGACCAAACTTGGTTTGTGTTATGATATCCATGATCTGAGGGTACCTGACAGTTTCAGCGCAGTGCCACTTAGTGGCCAGCAGATATGAAAAAAATATATTTTTGATTATAACTTCTGAACAGTTTGGCCAAAAAACACAAACCACTGGTCTCTTTAGATTCGGTGCAGCATGCCGAGCCAAACGATAACCAGTTAGGAATTTTGTCGTAAAGTCCTATAATTTTACAAATGCATTGGCGCATCTTTATGAATGTGATTAGTTTTGACTTTTGTCCTGAGACTCTTAAAGGGTTAGTTCACCCACAAATTAAAATTCTGTCAGTAATTACTCACCCTCATGTTGTTCCAACCCCGTAAGACTTTCGTTCATCTTCGGAACACAAATTAAGATTTTTTTGATTAAATCTGAGAGCTGGATCACTCCTCCATAGGCTTCTTAAGGGATCGAAACTGACCGGCCCAAAAGTTATGAAAGACATCGTTAAAATAGTCCGAGTGACTACAGTGGCTCAATCTTAAGTTTATCAAGCGACGAGAATACTTTTTGTGCGCAAAAACAAACAAAAATAACGACTTTATTCAAATTATTAATTTCCTTCCCTGTGGGCCTCGAGTGAGTTAACGTAGTGATATTGCGCAAAGCTTCTGTGTTGCACGTCACACGTAGGCTCACTATTGGGCGACGCTGGTCTTGTGTGTGATGCGTGTGACGTACAACACAGAAGCTTTGCGCAATATCACTACGTTAACTCACTCGAGGCCCACAGGGAAGGAAATTAATAGTTGAATAAAGTCGTTATTTTTGTTTGTTTTTGCGCACAAAAAGTATTCTCGTCGCTTGATAAACTTATGGTTGAGCCACTAGTCACTCGGACTATTTTAACGATGTCTTTCATAACTTCTGGCCCGGCCAGTTTCGATCCCTTAAGAGGTCTATGGAGGAGTGATCCACCTCTCAGATTTAATATAAAATATCTTAATTTGTGTTGCGAAGATGAACGAAAGTCTTACGGGGTTGGAACAACATGAGGGTGAGTAATTACTGACAGAATTTTCATTTTTGGGTGAACTAACCCTTTAATAGATTCCTTAGGTCATGCTGAGATAAAAAAAACCCTACTTTTTCTAAATCCTCTGAGACATTTCGTCTGGTTTTCACCTAATTTGAGCCGTGTCGGCAAAAAGTTATGGATTTCGTGTCGATAGATGAAAGCATTTGGACATACTGCATCAATTAATTTTGATGGCACAATGCCAAACTGCATCTGATGCTGTATCTCTGCAAAGCTTTGACATATTGACCCCAAACTTTATACGTGTCATTGTCACCTTACACTGACCACACCGCATCAATTTGGTAACAGCGCCACTTATTGATAAAAAAAAAAAAAACATTAAATTGTATTACTA